GGGCATGGGCGGCGCCGGGGTATTCCCATGAAATACCCCAAGATTTTAATGAGAAAAACAAATATACATATTTACATTGTGGACGTGCTACTATGCTACTTTAAGCAAATTTATTTGGACATGCTACTATGCTACTTTGTTTAGTACTAGTTAGCGTGCCCGTGCGTTGCTATGGAACAACTAAATCTTTTATACTAAAAACACACGGATCCCACGATAAGATAACAATACTGTTAAATTAAATACCGACGTCAAAGTGATATTTAATTCAAAAAGCAAAGTTCGTGAAATTAACAAAGTCACGGAGAGCGCGACGTCGCAGGCTCACAAACTCTACTGTATAGATTTTTTCGTGATACGGCTAAGATAATATTTTATATCAGCAGAAAGAATTCTACGATATCCATTTCTTTCATACGCCAATAAATCCATGAATAAGTTTCACTGCATCTTCATATAATCATGTACACACATGTTCGAGTATATATGTAAATAGGTTCGTGCCTGTGCGTTGATACGGGACAGCTAAACTTTTGTACTAAAAACACACGGATCGTACGATAAGATAACAATACTGTAAAAGTATATGACCGACGTTAAAGTGTCATTTAATCTAAAAAACTAAGTTCATAAAATTTACACAGTTACAGAGAGCATGGCGTCGTAGGCTCACAAACTCTACTGTGTAGATCTTTCCGTGATGCGGCTAAGATCATTTTTTATACCGGCAGGAAGAGATTTCCGATATCCATTTCTTTTATGCACCAACAAATCCACGAATAAGTTCCACCATATCTCCATACCATCCTGTACACGGCGCTGGCAAGCGAATTAGCCACAACTTATATAATTAGTTTTATAATTAGCTCATATTTAGTCCTCCTAATTGATATCTAAAAATTCAATGTGACAGGGACTAAAGTTTAGTCCTGGGATCCAAACACCCCATAGCTCTCGACTCCTGCTGGCTGCTTACTTGCACCACTATGCCTATGTGTCTACACGTATATACTCTAATGCCAGAACGTCTAAGATGGTCTATAAGGTTGTCATTTGTGTATGCTGTAGGATTGTGATGTTTTGTACTGATCCATGAGGGTGTTCATGAGAGTCGAAATTTTTGATGCCATTATGATGTCTAAGCTTACCATTCAGGCAGAGACGAACTTGATTGTTAAAATATTTTCAACACTGCTTTCATATACTCCCTCTGTCCCAAAATAGAATTTATTCTCGCTTTCTGAGAAGTCAACTTTTTTTTTAACTTCGACCAATTATAATACAGGTATTTTTTACATGCATGTGGCCTCAGGAGTTGACTAATTGATTATTAAATGTTGCACGTATTTTTTATAAACCTAGTCAAAGTTGAGAAAGTTTGACCTGCACATATCCCATAACGACTTATATTTTGGGGGCAGAGGAAGTATATGCTAATGGGAGTAGTCAACTGAAAGTTGTGATGAACATAACAATACTTTCATATTATATGCTAATTGGAGCACGAAGAAATACAGGGGAATAGACCTATATACGAATGGTGGAAATATTCGTTTATGAAATTGCAGAAGTTTCACCAGTCTCACCATGTATAACCTGTACATCTTTTATTTAGCATCACTGATGTTCTCAAGGAGTAGCCACTTTTTAATTTCAGATCTGCATGCTGGAAACACTAAATTTAAGGGCCAATCTCATTGAGTCGTCTTACTTGATCTTTGCCAATTGTTTCATTTCATGCATGATTATTGTTTCATTCCATGCATGTGGCCTCAGGTGATCGATTTGTTTCTTTCAAAGTAGGCGGGGATCGCAGGGATTGCAGTTTTTTTTTCTATCGTGCGGGGTATCGCATGGCCGGAAGGGAGGAGTCTTGCTTGATCTTTGCCAATTTTTTCCTTCCATGCATGATTATTCTTTCCTTCCATGCATGTGGCCTCAGGTAACCGATTTGTTTCCTTCAAAGCAGGCGGGGATCGCAGGGAAGACAATTTCTTTTTCTATCGCGCGGAGTATCGCATGGCCGGAAGGGAGGAGCAACCCAAAAAAAAGTCGCACAAAAAATAGTCTTACTTTTAGTCTTTTTAGTTGTAGGAGATTGTGACGAAATTATAGAAATGATCTTTTGTTTTTTTACATTTTGTGTTTGTAAATTATAATGTAAGAGTAGATGAAGAAGGTGCTAGCACTAGCATATTTGCATTGTGGGAGAAAGCTAGCACTTGTATATTTGCATTGTAATTTTGTTTACATGGAATACCCTGGCCCCGTTCGCGTGCCCTTAAACTCGGCTTGGTTCACTTCTTTTTTCATCCGGAATAGTGTTTTCCTCTCACAGATTCCTCCAGCATTCCTCCAAACCATCCAAATTCCTCCGAGCGAACAGACCCAGGCCCTGTCGCCATATCCTGGCTCCTCCACTGCTGAGGGTGTCAAGTTGCCGGCCTGTGGGTATACGCCCAGACAAATTGTTGCACGACAAGTTCAAGTAGCTTAGGATTGTCAAATCACATAGGATTGTCAAATCAGATAAGCTCACTGGAATTTTGCCAAACATCTTGTTCTTAGAGACGTCGAGTGATTCCAGTGACTGCATTGCTCCTTGTTACGTATTTTTCCACTCAGGCAGTTTGATGACAAGTTCAAATTTATTAAGGCATCGAGGGAAGTGATTGCTGGGAGGGTTTCACCAGTTAGGGAGTTGCCTGATAAATCAATGCTCACAAAATATTCTAATCCATTGTCATATTTCAGTTGCTGCCCTTTTATTATTATTAACATGATGTCTTTGAATTGATTTAGTCCACTGGTATAGCCAAGTTCATTTCCAGATCGATATGGATACGATCTTAGAGGTAGGTTACCCTTCAGGGTCATACCAGTTAGGTTTGACAGATGCCAAGGTACAACACCAGATATGTTGTTGCTCGATAGATCCAAGTATTGAAGATTGTTAAGATTTGTAATTTCTATTGGAATGTTCCCAGAAAATATATTATGGATTAGTCGTAGAAACTGTAAACTTTTCAGCTCCACAATCCAATCTGGCAAGCTTCCAAAGAATTTGTTCCTTCCAAGATCTAAGAACCCAAGACTACTGCAGGTCCTAAAAAATGCAGGAAAGTATCCTGACAAACTGTTATTGTTTAGTTGCAGGAAACCTATGGATTCCAATTCAAAACAATGAGGAAATTTCCCCTCTAAAGGATTACTTGACAAATCAAGAGCATGCAAACTTTTCAATGTGCAAAAAAGATTCTGGAATGCTGCCACCAATTTGGTTTGAGAACATAAGCAATACCATGAGTTGTGGAGCTTCAATTGATGGTAATGGTCCTGAAATTGAATTGTTGGAGATGTCTAATTCTGTGATATTTCTTGGAAACTGTGGTATTGTTCCAGTGAGCTGGTTCGAACTGAGATTAAGCACTAGAAAGGCCATGTCACTGAAATGTGCTGGCAAGGTACCACTTATTGCTGTTGGAGATGTCAATATTTGTTGCCAGGGAAAATGTTTGCCAGAACCAATCAGGAATCTTGTCAATTATAGCACCGCTTGAAGATCAAGTTCAATTATTTCAAACTGTTGCTGAAGCCAATCTGGAAACAGAGGACCCATTTGGCAAGATGCAAAATGTGCATTCCGAAGCCTGAAGGGTGGAAACCAGTCTGCATTTAACCTTCAAATTATTGGAAGCCATGTTTAAATTCTTTAAGCTGATTAAACCTGCAAAATGTTCTTCAGCAAAGGCTATAGAGGCAGCGAAAAAAGATTGGATAATATTATTTATTGTTTGCACCTGTTGGAGGTCAGCCTCTGCACAAATGACAAGATCATCAGCAAAAAGGATCGAATGAATTGGGGGCAACCTGGGCCCAAATAAATACCAGTGAGTGCTGCATTGTCCATAGCATCATGTAGTCTAAGAGAAAGCTCATTAACAACAATGACAAAAAGATATGGAGAAAGCGGACATCCTTGCCTGATGCCTCTACTAGCTTGAAAGAACCCATAGGAATCTCCATTAACATTGACAGAATACGACATGGTGGAGATGCAAGCATGGACCAACTCTAAAAATTGACTATGAAACCCTTTATGTTGCAACGCATCAATCAGAACGGACCACTCTACCATATCAAAAGCTTTAGCCAAATCAATCTTCAACATAAAGGCTTTCTTGCTCCTTCAAAAAAAAAAAAAGCGCATACGAACGATGCATCACTCTGTCACGTTCACATGCATGCCTACGGTCACAAAGCTAAAATTTACTTGGTGGCAGGGATCGGATCGGAGGTGTCGGAGCCTCGGCGTCCATGGACGTGATCGTCACCGGCACCGGACGATCGGAGAGGTCGAGTATGACTGTATGAGCATCTCTCGTTTGATCTTGAGAGACTCACTCCGTACCTTGAAACCTTTGCATGGCATCGCATTCACGAATTGACTGACTCGGTCTCGGTGTGCAGGCGCAGTGCGTCAGCGGCAGTGCCGGGCAGCGAGGTGGCGTCGGCCACGGTCATCGTGCATGGTCAAGGCCGTCGACGGCGGCGGCGCCACAGCAGATCACGCGTGGGGAACATGAAGCGCGCGACGCGACGGGGAGGAGAAGCCGAGGCTACACTACGCAACCCGTACGTGCCTCTGCTGCGAGGAACGCTGGTGACTACGTGCATCTTGTTTGTCACGGTTCACGCCGGCGGCGGCGAACAGGGAGCGCTCGCCGGCGAGATGTCCAGCGGCGAGGAACGTTTTCATTGATCAATCACCACATAGGATACTTGTATGTACAATGTAACAGATTGAGAGAGCTGTACTGCATTTGTTCAATAATGAAGATGGAAAGACAAGCAGGCACGTACGTAGATCAACCACGTTTCACGTTATACTACAGTCCTTAACACACCAACGCACGCACGCACGCACGCCGCAGATACAAACACTCCGCCGTCGTCGTCACCGGTGCGGGGTGCACGAGGTTGTTGTGCAAGCTAGCTCATCAGTCGGACCGCATGCGGTTGAGCTGGTTGAGAGCCGGCTGGAGGATGTTGTAGAGCACCCAGCCGATGGCGGGCGCCACGACGATGAGCAGCAGGAGGCCACGGCTGTCGTCGGCGGGCGCCGCAGCGGCGAGTGCAGCCAGGTCCTGCGCCGCGGCGGCGGAGGCCTCGGGCGCGGTCGCCATACCAGCCGCCGCCGCGGCGCCGAGGCCGAGGCCGGCGACCACGGCCTGGCTGCGCATGCGGTTCAGCTGGTTCAGCGCCGGCTGCAGGATGTTGTAGAGCACCCACCCGATGGCGGGCGCCACCACGAAGAGCAGCAGCTGGCCGCGGTTGTCGCTCCCGGCGTCCGCCGCCGCCACGTCCGCCATGCTCTGCGCCGCCAGCGCCGCGTCCGACGACGCCAGCGCCGAGAAGAAGGCGCCCGCCAGCGCCGCGGCCGCCGCCGGCGTGGCCGTCGACGACGATGACACGGCCACCGCGGCCTGCTTCTTGGCCTGCGCCGCCGGGAGGCGCAGCGAGACGCTGCTGCCGGCGCCGCTGGTGGATGGCGCTGACCGCGCCACGATCTTGGCGGGCTTCAGCAAGGCCATCGTAGCTATGGTCGCCATGGCACTATGGCAGGCTGGCGTGCTTGCTTGGGAGGGCAGAGATGGCTGACGGCGGTGTGAGGTGTGGGTGCGCAGTGCAATGCCGAGCTAGCTTTTTCGTCTCCGTGTTTCTAGAACCGGGGATCGGGCTTATCTCTGCAAGGTCGGAGGCGCGCAGTGTGTGCTCCAGAATGGACACCCTATCCTTGCGTCTGCATGGCCATTGGTCGGGGAGCAACAGGGTGGGTCCCGCATCGACACCAAGGGAGACCTTCAGATCGCAGGTGCAGCCAATCGAAATGAACCTAGACACCCCTACTAGTGTTCTCTAGAAATTAGAATTAGCATGCGTGCTAGAATATGCTTCCGTTAGCGAAATTTCTAACGACACCAAGCGGAGTACATTTTTGGTCGACAACAACGTGCACAAAATAGGGCCAAATGTCTAATTCTGCCGAAAGTATTTTTGGACCGCTTCCGCTTGCATCCTCTAGTATCAGAACATCATCACTACAAATAATACAAGCATGGCTTTGCCACGCCGTCATTGGATGTAACCTGTAACCATCCCAGTATCCCACACATACCTGTCTTCTCAAAGGGCTCGACGACCTTAATTTTAATACACTCAAACACATGTTCTCTTCGCCCTAAATTAAGTGTATGATTGGATCAATTAGAGATAGTTAACAGTTGAACTAAAAAAAATAATTTAAATTAGCTTAGATTGACTTGTTAGTTGGCTAATAACTAGTTAAAACTTGGCTAAAAAAAATATCCCACCTAGTCCTCCTGTTTGAATGCACTAGGGTCAATTTTAGCTGACTAACAATTAGTTTTTTTAACCAAACATGCAATAAGTGCACTTCTAGCATTTAAAATTTTGTCCCAAGATAAGTGTATTTCTAGGTAGGATCCAGCTACCATTAGTAGTTCTTTTTCAGTTAATCGCATCTTTTTCTTTCTAAATCACTGAGATCAAAATATTTCCGTTAATAAATAGAACTATAGAAGGTGTGATACTTTCTAGATTCTTCCATAGTGCGAAGATTAGATAATGGACACATGATGGGTCGTGAATTCCGTGACCCCTTTGTGACCGCATGCATGACAAGCGCCATCTGTCCGCTCATGTCTGTATGACGAGTCCCTATGCCTATCCGTACACATTCGGACATAGAAAAATTACCCTTACTACATGTTTGTGTTTATATGTGACAAGCCCTGAAAAGCTTATCATGACTGCACCTAGGCCTTGTTTGACTCGTCATACAGACATGAGCGGACAGATGGCGCTTGTCATGCATGCGGTCACAAAGGGGTCACGGAATTCACGACCCATCATGTGTCCATTATCTAATCTTCGCACTATGGAAGAATCTAGAAAGTATCACACCTTCTATAGTTCTATTTATTAACGGAAATATTTTGATCTCAGTGATTTAGAAAGAAAAAGATGCGATTAACTGAAAAAGAACTACTAATGGTAGCTGGATCCTACCTAGAAATACACTTATCTTGGGACAAAATTTTAAATGCTAGAAGTGCACTTATTGCATGTTTGGTTAAAAAAACTAATTGTTAGTCAGCTAAAATTGACCCTAGTGCATTCAAACAGGAGGACTAGGTGGGATATTTTTTTTAGCCAAGTTTTAACTAGTTATTAGCCAACTAACAAGTCAATCTAAGCTAATTTAAATTATTTTTTTAGTTCAACTGTTAACTATCTCTAATTGATCCAATCATACACTTAATTTAGGGCGAAGAGAATAAATTTCAAGTTTTTTCACTCTCTCTATCACATTAATTTTGGACACATGCATGGAGTATTAAATGTAGGTAAAAAAAATAACTAATTGCACAGTTTGGTTGTAAATCACGAGACGAATCTTTTGAGCCTAGTTAGTCCATGATCGGACAAAGTTTGTCAAATACAAACGAAACATGCTACAGTGTCAAGATTGTAAAAATTTGCAATCTAAACGAGGCCCTATCCAAACATGTTCTGACGCGAAAAATCTACCCTTATTGATGCACATGGGGGACATATGCCCTAAGGGCCGCAAAAACACATTACCATACGCGTGAGCAAAACACAAGTAACACTAAATGCATGATGCAGCAAGGAAAAATAGCTTCTTTTTTTATTAACTGACACAATCCTCCATGTTTTTTTTTAAGATTTCATTTACGACCCGTCGAACACGGGGCAAGTCCTGCAATGCAAAGAAGAAAGTCAAATATTTAATGAATTTATAAACTTATTATAGGTCATCAGAAAGTAGAGAAATCGCAAGAATAATTAATAAAATTTCAAGTTCCCATGCATGTTGTACTTTGTTGAATGCTGAGACGAGAGGCGAGAGGTGAGAGAAATGTGAGAGGGGGAGGCGATGGCTGCAGCTTTGTGTTAGAGCTGCACAGCTCACATGCGGTGAACCACAAACCAAACAGGTCGCACCGTGTCACGGTTGCCAAGTCCTATTTCTGAAGATTTGACACCGTTTTTTTGCTCCACGTGGCGCGCATCAGTACCATGGGTAACTAAAACCCGTGGGTGGGTAGCTATCACCGGTGCTAGAAAATCTACACTGGTAGTTATAAAGTTACTATAGGGTATATGCCCCTATGGATACATACAGGGTATATGCCCCTAAAGGAGTTCACTGCAAGGCCGACTCAGCTAGCTATTTGTATTACAAGCCAGCATCACTACCGGACACGGCTGATTTGCCGAGTGCTTTCTGTCGGGCACTCGGCAAAGGTAATCTTTGCCGAGAGCCGGACCCAACGCCACTCGGCAAAGATAGGCTGTCGGCAAATCTACCTTTGCCGAGAGCCGGACATTCGGCAAACTTTAGCCGTCGGCAAAAATTTTCCTTTGCCGAGTGCCGGGCGTTCGGCAAAGATTGGCCGTCGGCAAAAAAATCTTTGCCGAGTGCCAGGCACTCGGCAAAATTTGGCCGTCGACAAAGGTGGTCGGCGTGACGGCGGCCACCTGCCGTCAGCCTTTGCCGAGTGCCCCACCGTTAGGCACTCGGCAAAGGGTTTTTTATTTTTTTAAAAAAAATTCTTTGCCGAGTGCCCTGTGACCTGACACTCGGTAAATTATTTTTTTTTTGTTTTTTTCGCCCCATTTTTTTTCTAGAGCCTTGCTACAGTAATTAAACTCCATTTCAAAATTTGGGACAATTTTGAGTTTTTACTATATTTCCTTAATTATTTTTGTTTCGTTGAATTTTTTCGACTATTTCAAATTTGAACTGTATGTACATGAAATAATGGAATTTGGTCATTCAAAAAATGGTATTCATGATGTTTGGCGTATGTTGAGGCCGTATCCAGGAACTCACATGAAATTACGAGCATCTTGTTGTCGTAACATGACGATGTACTTGCGGGAAAAGTGTATTTAAATTATATAAAATCCAAACGAAGTTTGAAAATCACAAAACTTGTCGAGGTGTCTTGTTATCGCATGTGGAGGCCGTGGTAAAAAATTGAGAAAGTTTGGAGCAAGTTGTGACATCGGATGCCTAAAAGCCAGACATGCCCCCCTGTCCATCCGCGCCCCTCCCGGCCGTGGCGCTCCCACCCGCCCCGGCTGCCCAGCCGCCCTCGCCCGTGACTGCCACGCCCAGCGCCTGGTCCCAGCCGCGGCCGCCAGCTCGCCTGGCGCCAGACTCCGAGCCCCTGGGATGATGACCTGGCCGGGCCCCGAAGTCAGCTCCCTGAGCTCCCTCTGCCCCGAGCCCCGAGGCTCCAGCTCCGCCCCCTGTGCCACCATGGGCCGGCCAGCAGAGGGAGAAGGAGAGGAGCAAGAGGAAGAAAGAGAAGGGGGAGGAGGAAGAAGAGGAAGAAAGAGAAGGGGGAGGAGGAAGAAGAGGAAGGTGCCGACCCGATCGCCCGTCGATCCTCGCGCTGTTCTGACCGCCCGTTGATCCTCGCGCTGCTGCGGTCATCCCTGTCGTCGTCGCCGGCCCTCGCTCTTGCTGTTCTTGCCGCCAAGGTAAGACCTACCCTTGTAGTGTTAGTAGTAGTAGTAGTTAGTAGTGTTAGTAGTAGTTAGTTGTAGTGTTAGTAGTTAGTAGTGTTAGTTGTAGTAGTTAGTAGTGTTAGTTGTAGGGTTAGTAGTAGTAGTAGTTAGTAAATAGTAGTAGTTAGTAAGTAGTAGTGGTTAGTAGTAGTAGTTAGTAGTGTTAGTTGTAGGGTTAGTAGTAGTAGTAGTTAGTAAATAGTAGTAGTTAGTAAGTAGTAGTGGTTAGTAGTAGTAGTTGTTAATAGTTAAGTAGTTCTTAGTATTAGTACCGTTAGTAGTTAAGTAGTTGTTAGTAGTAGTGTTAGTAGTAGTTGTAGGGTTAGTAGTAATTGTTGTTGTACTACTTCAATACTTACATCTGCATGGAAAGAGAACTAAAGTACATGGCTCCTCTTGATATATTGGTGGTTGTTGGCCTTCATGCCCATGTTTGGTATATATGTGGTTGTTGGCCTTTGTGCCATGTTTTTGCAGGTTTTGAGAACCTCCCCGTGCAGGGGAGGTGCTGCCGAAATTTTGAGTCGACACTAACCATTTTTGCCCTTTTTTGCAGGAGGACCTGTGGGAGGGACTCGGCGACCCCGATTGTCTTCGTCGGCACTGCGGGTCTTCATGCACCGCGTTTTGTTTATTTATTTAGCATCTATTTTTAACACATGTACTAATATGTCTTGTTTGTTTCTTTTTAATGGCAGGTGATTGAACAAAGATGGCGGACAGTTGTGTGCCAAGGAATGTGAACTCGAGGTTCATGAGGGCACGTGATGTAGATCCGGATGCAGAAGAGGGGTCGTCGGACGGGAGGAGGCAGAGGGCCAGGAGCAGCGGTAGCGGCAGCGGCAGCAGGAGGGGCCGGCCTCCTCTAGTTAGGTCGCGTGACGTGCCGGAGGAGGAGCGCCGTACCCCGGACTCCTCGGACGAGGAGGAGCTGGTTCGGCAGATGGATGACGAGGGAGACGAGGCACAATAGGGCGGTGAGGCT